ACAATACCGCAACGGATATGAGAGATACAGTATATGAGTATATGGTAAAGGATAATAATGATAATAATAATAATGTTCTAGGATCTGTCGTGCTTTCATACTCTAAAAGAGATTTCTATTCCTTTCAGGCAACTTTGTTTCTTTCTGACTATAGTGCAATAACAACATTTCTGTCCTTGGCTAACATCTAATATAAACATTTAATTAAGTCAAAAGGAAGGTTTGGCTAAGAAGAGACCACTATCGTATTTACCTCCGGAAGCACGACAACTGATGCACTCGATTTGGTTTATTTTGAGTACCGCTAGTACCTTCAATATTGAAAATAATAATACGCAAGCTACGATCGGTGAAACAAGTGGCCAATATAGAACGAATAATCATATTAGAACGAATGATCATATTAGAACGAATGATCATATTAGAACGAATGAGTAAATTGAACGAAAAAAAAACGTTTTAGAACGATTGATCAATTAGAACGAGTTATAAGTGAAACGAATAATCAATCAGAACCAAATATCAATAAATGTCTGAATATATCAGTTATGAATACGACACAATCAAGCAAACATTTCACTTCCAACCGGTAATTCTTGCCTTGTTCCGTGATTTGTCCTGTCGAGCAAGATTATGAAATGTATTGAAATAAATCACTTAACGCCTGTTATAAACCTTCAAATACAGAATGTAATACTGCTGAATGGGTTATAGACGAGTATTGCCATGTGGAGATAATCTATGGTCCATGGAGTGTTAAATGGACAGTTTAGAGTGATTACAGAGAGTAGATGCCGGATCATTAACGACTCCACCTCATTTATCAAATGTGACATCAACACATAAAACACACAGAACGTTTGATCGGCACAAATAGAACACTTGATCATTAGCATCTATCGCCATGAATCGGACGCTAGGCAGTTCTTTTCTAGCTGATGCACTTTCTTCTCGYCCAAAATGGCGAGTTATAGTGGAAGGTACATCCATGTCTTTGATAGATGGCTTRGCTTTGGTCGGTAATATCCTTGTATGGGTAGCTGTTGTCCGAAATCCTCATCTRCGGAAGATCCCCACCAATGTCTTCATCCTTTCTCTYGCATTATCAGACATAACCATGTCTATTACATGTATGCCGATCTCTGTACTTGTACTCATTCAAGGCCGATGGTCRCTTGATTCCACAGTTTGCCAATTTCATGGATTCTTCTTCTTCGTCCTGGCGTTCGTGTCCCTGCAGACGGTTGCCTTGGTTGCGTTAAATCGTTACATGAGCGTTGCTAAACCAAGTGCATATCGATATGTATTCACATATAAGAACTCTATTATAATGGTTATCGTTATATGGTTGGTGTGTGGGTTCTATGTGAGTATCTTTATGATATTCAACCATAACATGTTTGTATTCGACGCAGGAAAAGTTATCTGYCATATTCACCTGGACCGACGCCCTTTYAAAATCGCATGGAATATACTAACAGGGTTAGTATTYGCTCTGTTGCCTATGGCAACTATGTTTCTATGTTACTATAAGCTATTCCGTGCTATAAGACTCCACAATCTTCTGACAATTCGCTCCATACGWGGATCATTACCACTAGCAACGAACACYGAAGAGATTCATGTCACYAAAGTCATCGTCGCCATTATGGTAGGGTTCTCATGCTGTTGGTTGCCCTCATTTTCTATTGCTTATATCAGACTTTTAATTCCCTTACGCGGCAGGRCGCCGCACTTGATCTACATCTACTTAGTTTACAGTTCTAGTATGATAAATCCATTTATTTATGGGATTTTAAACAGCACATTTCGTGGAGAGTTTCTTAAGATTCTTCTGTGTGGRCGCAAGAAGGCTCCTTCTGCGGACTCTGAGGCATTTGAAATGAAACGAATCGACATTGATCGACACAGTATTCATCCTTAATATTAATACATTAATATTGATTTAATAAGTTCTCTTAAGAAGATGGAGAGGCGCAGAGTTGAATTGCAGTCTTTTATAAAACGTCAGTATGCTAATCTCTTAAGGTCTAAAAACAGTTAAGATGAAATTACATGTAAATTTGCAAAAAAAAAAATGGTGTAAAAATGAATGCGCATGCATGAGATTAGAATATTATTATCGTATTATCTGGAAATAATAGGGAAAAAATCACTAAACGCATTTTCTGTTAATTAATTTTATCGTTTTTTGCACCTTTTAGTACATATCAAATTAGGACTGTGTACAATATAATTCGCTGTTGCTTAATTGTTGTTGGTCGTTCTYTCGCCAATAAACTATTCATATCAGAAACGCATTCCCAAGGCTTTTCCTCTCCTTATTCACAGCACACTATTGCCTGCATCCCTTCCATTCGCTAACCTTCATTGGACATACACGTACATGTTTTGAAAAGCTATCGTTCAAGTTACGACGTTTCAGCGAAATTTTTTTTGTTCAGTACACAGTAGATAACACAAACATTGATTTGCATATATTAGTACCGCTAGTTTCTGTACTTTAACGTTTTCTTGGGATAACGTTGATCGACACTCTAAGTTTCACTTTCGTGTTGGATTAAGCACTTCAATATACAGGCAAATTATTAAGAATAGTGAATACAGGCGGGCAATCCATAATTCTAGGGATGGTGGTCTTTGTTTATTGTTTAAGTCGCCGTCTCTTTCGATSTGAATTTYTTCCATAATCCTCTTCTTTTCAATAATTGGCGATGCTTGCTTAACAAACGGCTAGAAAAACAACATCTGTTGATGGTTTATCAAGCACTTTAGCTCGTCCCTTCATAAAGGTGGCTTTAAAGTCACACTCTAACAGGTTCACTGTCGCTGGAGTACGGTAGKACGTGGTTCAAACCAAACACGATGGTAAAAAATACCACAAAAAGCGAAATCCACGACATAACGCACTGCACCAGAACTAGAACTGGGTAGTCTTTCTCAATATACGCCATTACGGACGCGAGGAAAGTCGACAAGATGTGRGAACACATTGGAATCAAGCAGGCGAACTTCACCTGCGCCCAAATGCTTTTTTGACAATAATACAACAACAGCCACGCTAAAATGATGATATATGCGGCCAAAAACGTCCCCAAAGTCACTACAGTCGCCTCCGTATAGTGTTTAAAAACGGCTACAACAATATGCAGCGATGTAGTAGCAAGAACAAAGCTACCCGAGACTGAAGCGCCAACAATACTCGTATGTTTTTGCGAAGAACTCTCCTCCATATAGAGAACTACGCTTCCAAACACTTATTTTTTTCTTTCAAACGATGCGAGCAACTTAAATCAGGCAGTAATGGTATCCTTTAGCGAGCGAGAGACAAGATGAAAAACTCAAAATTCAGATTAGAAAGCCGTTTTATTAGCAAAGCTTGGTCAAGAAAAACTGGTTTCTTGCTTGGTTCAACCAGTTCAAATATGCAAATTTATARAAAACCACGGACAAAAGGGTGTCACGGTTGACCTTATTGAAGGACAACCTGACAGTCAGCAAAAACCYCRAGAAATAATTCCCGACACTGAAACGGTAGAAAACAACAGATTTCGTGTAACTCGACGTAGATTGATAATATCTGTGATATTAACAACGCGCTCAACAAGGCACAGACGGATATTCATAGCATAATTAAATTAAATAAATCCACGTGAATTACTGGGCTTAAGCGATGTCAGGGTCTACTATCCTTTAAACCGGTATTTACTCATTCCGAAAATGAAAAAATTTGTGTGACCACTTTCTTTTTTACCACAAGGGTAGTGAAAAGTAAAAAAAAACATTTTTATCTAAAAAACGTTAACCAACTAGTAATCTGACAGTAGAGAAAAGCGATCCAATATACCACTTCGACTTTTGAGTGTATAACTGAATATGTACTGCCTGACGTGGGGCCATGTGTCATTTCTTCGAGTGTTTACTCCTCTATAATGTTYTGTCTCACGCAAAGAGAATTATATGATTCATGAGTTAGGTCTAAGAAATCGTCTGATGGCAACAAGTCTTCCAGGAGAGGAGGGAAKTCATTGAAAATTGTAGGGATRTTCTTCACATACCTGATGGCTGGAAATGTGAAGGTGTTATATKCCTTGTATACCGTCTAGGGGCAACATAAGTGCAAAATAACTGGATACAATAATGATCACAACACCAACAACTATAATTACAACAACAACGACAATAACAATGACAACATCATCAACTATTATCACAACAACCACAACAATAACAACGTCCGCAACAACAATGACAGAATGACGATTTTCTCACTTGAAACAGCAATCGAACAATAAAAACAAAATTAGAAAATCTAATAATAATTTATTGAAAATGTTATTTATATATTTGTACATTCTATTCTGGTTGTTTACTTCGACACAATACTCTAGCACAAAGCTTACGACCTTCAGTAGATTGTAAACTGCAAATTCCTAGAACTACATCGGGTGTACAGCATACTACAGGCGTCAGGCCAAGAAGATTCTGGGTCTGAAGAAAACAGAWAGAATCATCAACGGTCTTTTATATACAGAAGAGAAGTAAATACAGAAAAGTGAAATATRGAAGAAAGTCAAAGGAACCACGATCGTTTGAACGCCAAATGGCCGCAGGAAAGCTTCCGTAATCACTGGAAAAAATCGCGAGCCATAAAGGTTGTAAATTTGATGGAAATATGATGTAAGTGTCCAAAATGATGCAAATTTGATGGAAATCACTTACATCAAATTTACATCATTTTGGACACTTACATCATATATACATCAAATTTACAACCTTTAAAGCGCGCGATTTTTTCCAGTGTAATAGAGAGGTTTCAGTGATATAGAGGGCTGTTATTTTAGGAAAATCACCCTTGTTTCTTACCAGTCCAGTTGGTAGACATGCCAACACAGAACCTGACGCTGGGCTGCTACACTGTGCWGCTTGTTGTAGAAAGTTCTTCAAAACKACAGCAACTGGACCAACCTTGTTGTCTTCWACTACAGAAACTAGTTCCTCACAAAGCCAAACTGTTTCAACATAAACAAGAATTTTTCATAAGAATTGTAATGGTTAAACATTCTATTCTTTGTTTTCAAGTTACGTCACAGCGGCCATCTTGGAGGAACTTCAACAAAGGATTTCTCATTAGTATTTATGGTTCATTCCTCCAACATGGCCGCCGGCCTTTTCTCTTTTGAATCTCATGGGAATGTTTGAAAAGGATCTAGTTGCCGTTATGATAGTGTGGACTTACCCAGTGAATTTTGAATGGCCCCTGGTGACTTTGCATGTAGATTTTCAGGTTGTGGCTGTTCTGAGCTGCATGCAAAGAAAGCATTCGCATGAAATCAGTCAATCAAAAAACCCAGCCCCTGAGCATGGCTGAGGATTCACCAAACCATGGTGAACTGGGCAATTTTCCAGTTTCAAATTCTCCAATGCTCTTTGTTAGCCTTATTTGTGTGCAAAATAGTTTATTACCAATTGTGAACGCAAAAGGGTGAGATTTCAAATTAATTTTTCTTCTCAAATTCCATGTGTTTTCTCGGGCTATCAATGAAACAAAAGAATATGTTTCTTGCATGCTTGGTTTTGAGGCTAACACAGAGCAAACCAGAACTCGAAATTGGGGTATTGGTATGTCAATCAAATATAAAAATACATCTTTCTACCAGATGTGTTTGCCTCAAAGACTTCAATATGGTTAAAATGTAAGTCCCCCTGCTGTTCTTGAGG